GCACGTCAATGATACTTATTTTTCATGGAAGTACAGTGAGGGTCATCCTAGTTTGAATGGTAACCACTGTTACTGCCAAGGAACGACAAGAAAGTTTGAACCACGCAAAATAATTGAATATATCCCAATTTCCACAAAGGTTACCGAAAAAATTAGAGGCATTAGTGTCTTATTGCCTCTTGTTTATAATGTGTATTATAATTTATTTTCTAGAGTTGAGTTTTTATAGCATGTTGAAAAACAAAATTGTTATATTAATTTCAAAAAAAATGAGTTTTGTTATATATAATATATATATATATATATATATATATATATATATATAGAGAGAGAGAGAGAACGAGGAGAGAGAGAAGAGAGAGGAGAGCGAGAGAGAGAGAGGGAAGAGAGAGAGGGAGAGAGGGGAGAGAGAGAGGGGAGAGAGAGAGGGGGAGGAGAGAGGGGAGACGAGAGAGGCGTGAGGAAGAGGAGGGGACAAGAGGGGGTTGGGAGAAGAGAGAGGGGAGAGAGAGAAGGTAGAGAGAGGAGGGGGAGAGAGAGAGCGGGAGAGAGAGAGGGGAGAGAGAGAGGGGAGAGAAAGAGTGGTGGAGAGGAGAGGGGAGGAGGGGGGGTGGAAATTCTCTCGGCAAATCCACTAATGTTTGAATGGGGTTATGTTGCCGAAGCTCACAGCTAACTGCCTGACGTCTGCGATCCGTTTATCGCGACCGTTATTTGCACTGTAGCCAATTATTGAAAAACGGCGGAAGCAAAGTTGTACACCTTGTACATAGAACTGGAGGCCTTAGAAAATGTGAAAAGCTAAAAAAGCTTTCACATTCTATGAAGTTAGAACAATACAATAATCAATTACACTTTTTAATTAATAAAAATATCATGGCTTTTCCCAAACAAAATGGATTTTTTTTAGAAACTGTGAGCAGAAAATTAGATTCAAACCTCTCACGACCGCTCAAGTTAGCCATCCGAGTACTAGTTTCAGAGGGTGGCTTTAGGGTCGGTGTCTGCTCATGGAGATAGAGCACAGGAACCCCTGGAATATGACTAGCAGCTTTCTGGAGAATAAAATCCTGTGTAGCAATGATGTATCTGAAAATTAATCACAATTAATTAAATGAAAAAATAAATACAAAAAAAACAAATAAATAAAAAATAAATAAATAAAAATAAATATATAATATAAAAATTAAAATCTAACGTAAAACAAAAGTAAATCTTTAAAGAATTAAGGCGAAAGATTGTAAGTGTAGATACATTCAATAAATTTAATTAGCTAAAATTGCAACTGTACCTGTTTTCATTCTTGGCACCAAGCATAGACATAAGACACTCAAAAGCAGGAATAGGTTTTCCCTCATGACCACATCTATGATGCTTGAACTGTTTTACAATCACCAGTGCACTAAACAGCTGTTTTCCTGTCGCACATTCAAGAAATGTTATGTTAAAAAACACTATTTAATAACAGACTAACTTATTCAATATTCAAGTTCTTCACAGTCATGATTTATCGTTGTGTGTAAATGAAGACAAAAAAATTAACAGGAAGTTGAAGAACACACGCATTTAACAGGAAGCCAGGGGATTCTCAGGTGATAAATGTACACCTCAATAGGAGGGACTTCACCAGACATGGACTACATATGAAGAACAAGGGAAAGAAATAATTAAGAGAGTGGCAGAACTAATTTAAAACCATTCCACAAATCAACAAAATATAAGGATTCAGTTAGAATGGAATGGTTAGTATGTTTAGTAGTGGATGAATATACTAAGATTGAACCACCAAGTACATAGTTTGCTCTTCTAGTTGTATAAGGAAGCAACTTCAGAAATTAGCACATTTTCAAGAATGAACATGGCATGGGTAAATTCACAGATAAAAAAAATTATAAGTTAAGCAAATAAGAATCTAAATTTTGTGCTTAAACTTAATGACAAATTATGCCTTGGACTTTTCATATCTGATTATGGATTGACTTTTGGGTATAGAACTCTTAAAATTGTTATTTTAAAACCTATTCCCACAGTGCAAAATGTCATTAAAATTTGCAATATGGTGGATAGGCATCAATTCAAAAACCAACTCGATAAACAAAAAAAGCATAGCTTGCAAGCAGCATGTAGCTCTTCCATAATTCTTGTGTGGCTCTTACAAAATTGTGCAGCTACACTGAAAATGATGCAATTCTGGAATTGGAAAGAGGGACTTCTGGTTTTACAAGTTTGGTTTCTCATTCCAGTTTTGTCTTTCATTGAATGAATTCATATGAATCTAAGCATGGAACAGCAATAACTGATGTTCATTTTGCTAAATCTATGAACATCCTTATCTAGCCGCCTGCCAGATTTTAGGCAATTAGCAGTCTAAATTAATTGTTGCAAAAGTTAATAAATGCCTTTGTAATCAAAATATTTTGAAAAGATTCTTTAATAGTGAGTCAATGTTTCAGTTGGCAAAAAAAATACAATTTTTGCTAAGTGGCAATTTGTCTTTTGTACACATTACTTCCCTACAAATAAGGCCTGTAACCTTTAAAAAACAGTAAGTGTGTTTCTTTTGAAAGATCATGGCTGCAAAGATTGGAAGCTGGCATCCCCTTTGAATTTGAAAAGCATTACACTGAAAATAATTTTGAAGCCAGTGTGGAGGAATTAATCAACAAGATTTCTTTTTTCATTTGAGTTTGTGGAACTCCATGTCTCTCTGTCTTCATAAAATTAAGAAACCATAATAAATACAACAGGAAAACATTTTAGGGAATTTCAATTTCTAAAATAAATGTGAACATTTTAAGTTGCATTATTAAGCACATGTGGATTCCAAACTACTGAGATTCCATAAGGATTGGGCTATATTGAACAGTTAGCCATTGATCAAATGGTAGGTACTCAAAAAAAAATCTAATGAAATATTCATACAATTTTTTATCCATGGATTTCTCTGATTACTATGCCCAACCACCCCAAAGATATACCTTAGTTATGTGCACAGGAAAGGGCACATGATTCTTTCCTAATTGAACACTGTATATAAGAATATTTAATGGTACTATATTACTTACATTCTATGTGAACAGAAGAATTCAGAATGTAAACATGATTTTTTCCCCTCCAGTATTTCTTGTATGTATAAGCATTAGTTGTTTTTATAACATAAGATTACTTAAATTAGGATTCACAACATAAAGATAAAAGAAATAATTACCCATTTTGAGAAATAATTTTGTGAGAAAAAACTAAATTACACTTTTAAAAGACATCCCTTATAGATACACATTTATAAAACATTTAACAGTCTTATATACAAATAAATCAGTACATAACAATGCTTTATCAGGAAAGACAACCTATGTTTCCTTATTTTAAGAATTTTACACACATTTTGAATACTACAATATTTTCTTTCTCCCTTTTTGCTCTTTGCATTCCAAACAAGATAAAAAATCATCTATCTTCCAATAAATGATACCTGTTACTCCAAAATTTTTTTGAAGAATCAAGAATCAGACGTTCAAAACAAGAAATACTTATTTTAAAAAAAATTTATTTTACAGAATTATTTATTTTAAAAAAATATTAAATTTTCCGGCAATTAATTACTATATCAAATTCTAAATAATTTAAAAAAAATTATTAAAAATGAAACAATGGTGTACTCTACGTAGAATATTTACACTGAAAATATATCTCCCAAAAGAGTACTTGTCCTCCTTTATCTATATTGTTTATATAAATTAGTACATATGGACACTAATGTAATTCATGTAGTTAATTGTATGATTGTATTCACACATTTCATGTATTTAATGCAATTTTCTTTCTTGTACATTTATTAATGTGATATTAAGAATGTAAGGATTCTTTGATTTAGTTGTGTACAATTGTATTTAAATGTAAAAGTATCTCTTGTTTATTATATTCTACATTAATCTGCATTGTTTTGTTTAATTGGTAATTTTTACATATTTTCTGTAAGCATGTTTTACAAGTGTTTACCATTTTCCAATTTGAATTGAAGTGCTGCCTTTGAAAGCTGTTCAGATGGGACAAGCCAGCTACCCAAACAAGAGGGTGATTTTGTCAGGATTTTTGAAATTGAAGCTCCTGATTAGAAAACCACATCCCAGTTGATCAGCTGTCAAATTCATTTCAAACTGGAGTTTAAATTACATGTCCCATATCACATGTAATTATATCAGTTGGATGAAATAAATAATCTAATGTAACAGACAAAGGAACTTACCAAAGTTTTCAGTTTCCAATATAACACATTGCGTAGTAAGTATTTTGACAGGTCCACCAAAATATTTCGGAAGTTGCTCAGCTATGTTAACTTTGCCCTGAAATACAGATTGTCAGCATAGATGTAGTTGGTAGAACCTGGATAGAACCTTTTGTGTATTTAATACTGTAAAAGCATTCTAGGACAGAGGTTCTGTTACAGCACAACTCATGGCAACATAAATGCACAGTTCATATAACAATAAACCATTAGTGATTAATTAAGCTTTACAATTCATTTCTCACATCCTTAAACTGATGTAGTCGTAGCATTTAGAAAACTGGATTTTTATTCGACAGATCCTAAATAATTAAACGTACCTTTTTAGCAGCTACACAAAAAGTCCCATCAATTAATATTTGATACGGAAGCCGAAATCCGTAACTATTTCGAAAGAAATTCATATAACGGTGAACTTTCTTATATCTCGCAATCTTCATCTTCGATTAGTGTACTATTACTTCTTAAAACTATTTCGTATCATTCACAACCCTCACTCAGCACTTCATACGGCACTATCTAAAACTGTATTTACACGGTAGTTATATTCTCCTCGCTCTGGAACCCTTTGACACAAAAATATAATTACACAAATTCCGCAAGGCAAGCAACACGTGCAAAATTATCAAACCAGTGTTTTATACTCAAATGTAAACATAGTAGCACTTCAATGACAAGAACTTCACGGAGAGGGGGGACACCGCTATCCAATCGGCACCTTCGTTACAACTTACATCCCGATTAGATTACAATGTCACCCTTTCCTGCCCTTTCTTTCCAGCTTTTGACCTTGAAATGGCACCTTATTTAAATTAGTATGTATAAGGGGATCTGCTGGAGGTCAGGGGCAGGAACTACCTGTTAAATCTTGCGACCACTTGCGACCCGCGTAACGTTTGCCTGAATACTACCCTCGTGATATTGGCGGCAAAACGAAACTTGTCAAGACCAGTCAGATCCAAGAGAGCTATATTTAGCACTCGTAATTAGGTTCACGACCGTGGAATGTTTCCAGAAATGCGGAAAATAGAAACAAGGGTTACTTATCGACTTCCTCACACTGGAAAGTTTTTCTTGTTCGCCTTTACGGAGGCGAAAGAGTTCCTCGCTCGAGTTCCTCGCTGTTTTTTAAACACATTTTTGCGTATTCATTCTTGGTCACATTTCTACACTACGATTTATGCAACTCTGCCCCTAGCTGGTATTGGCCGTCAACCGGTTTCATCCAATTGGAAGCTTGGACGTCACCATGGTGTCACTATGGTGACTAAGCTCCCGATTGGATGTAACTGTCAACAGCTGATACCTGTCAGGGGCAGAATTGTGAAAATCTCATTATACTCCTTTATCTTTTATTTAGGTTCTCTATACCCTTGGCCTGAAACCCTTGGATTGGCACTCTAGACAAACTGAGTGTTCGGCATGCCGGTGCTTGATTGGTGTGGACTGCGGGTGCGATTATGGTGTGAAGCAGGAAGCACGTGAGAAGCAAGATTTTTGGGTGTGGTGAAAATTTAGGTGAAATTTCGTGCAGCAGAAGTGAATTTAGAAAAATGAATAGAGTGTGAGAAATTGCCCGTATTTGTACGAAACAAGTAATGAACAATATATAAATATTGTATTGAAGGGTGACGCCAGGTTACACGTTGAGGACGAGTCAAGGGTTTTCGGCCCTCTTGTTATAAAATAAAACATCCTTGAGTCTGTCCTACGCATTTTATGCCAACACTCATCTTAAAAATCATTTGGCGGGTAGATGGACATCAATGCTAAAGCAACCGTGACACCGCCAACTTCCGATCAACCTTTACATTGTTTTACCGCTCATTGTTACATTAATTTACAACCGCTCATTGTTCATTTAAATACCCACGCCTTATTTCGTTTAGAGAGTATTTTAACTGCATAATTTTAACAGTAATAACATGGATGGTATCTATAGTAATAATACAAGATGCTTCTTTAACAATTCAAAATACATCTGTATTCTTTCTACATTATTCTACTGTCTATATTGTTTTTGCATAGGTTGATGTACTTTAAACATAAAAAGGCACATGCGATTGTAGAATTTGATGCTGCAATGTTGTTTTTTTCTTTTTGTTTTTTTTTTAGGTTGAGAATCTGTAATTTGATTCACATGTTCATCAATTAATGTAGAGGTGCATACGCATTGCAATATCACGGGACAATTAAATCAAGCAGCGAAATCATTTAAAAATGATCTTGTAATGTTGCAATGTGTATTTTGAGATGCCAAAGAAGAATGGAAAAAGTTAGAGCGTAGGTTTCCGCGGCCAGAGTCAGTATTTACTTGGCTGTCCGGGTGACGCCGCGTCCATGGCGAAGATGCCAACGTAAGTATTACGCCCTGAGGAAGGTCGCAGAATGGCGATCGAAACGTCGGCACCTTCGCCATTGACACTGCGTCACCCGGACAGCCAAGTAAATATGGAAAAAGTTGCGTGACCGAGATGCAGAGGTAAAGGAAGTTTCAAGCACTCCAAAATTGGGGGGGGGAAATTGAACTCTATTTTGAAGTATTTGGAAAAAGAAAGGGAAGCCAGACAGGAAAGTAGGTTGGCAAATGAAGGGAAAGATGTTAGATTAATTTGTTATGTCAATATTGCAGGTGGAGTTAGAAGAGAGTGCCTCTGACATTTGCCTGTATGTTTTTAACGTAAGTGAATAAATAAATGCTGAATTATTTTTTCATTAACGTCTCATCAAAATGTTTATTCCATTATCCTATAATTTTGTGAGACCAGCAATAATTTCAGTGTGTGATAAAATAATGTATGGTAAGTATATTTTTAATATTTAAATGAGTGTAAATGTTGCAAACCGCTTTGAATATTTACAAGGGAACCTTTTATAATTTTATGTTTTGGTGGACTTTGAAGTTACAGATAAAATAGATATTGTTCCACAAAAGGGAACATCAAACTTCCAAGATAACACCTTTCTACTGTCAGGTGACTTTGTACGAAATTTATCAGTAATACCTTTGAATTCATGTTTTTAAAAGATGGTTTATATATATCAAGAAACTCGTTTGTTCAAAATTAGCTTGGAGGGGGACAGGTGAAGAACACCTAAGTCATGCATTCTAGAGCTATGTTTAAGCTCTTGAATTATAAAATTCGTTCATTCTCGAGTTATGTTTCAGCTTGTGAATTATAAAATTGTGAAGTATCCAAGAAGAGGTTATCAGCATATTTATTGAGAAACTTTTATGCTCAATGAATCATTTTTATGGACTCTTATGAAAAATATTGCCAATAATACTGATTTATTTACATAAAAAACAGTTAAAAACTGTGTGTCGTGCTATGAGGAGAAGTTAATTTGATGTTACATTTATGTCCAGAAGCAAAACAAGTGGCCACTCAGCATTTCCTCAAGGAGGAGGGAAACTAGATGTAAACATGATTGAGATGGGGGTCATTCACCAAAAGCTGACATACAATACTTTTTTACAGGTTCTTTATAATTAGACAATCCCAATGGTAAATAATATATTAAAAGTCATTGTTAAAATTAATATTACTTTTAGATTCTTGGTATAGTCTCTAATTGTATAGAAACAGTTGTGCATCAGAAAAGATTTTACTTGGGACGTACTGTCGGAAACTTTTGTATCAAATTTAATCATTTAATGTCATCTGGTAAGGTGTAAAATAATGAACATGTATTATATGTGAATTGTTTGTAGTACTGAACATGCAATATTACTATAGAAATACAAGCAATATTTAAGCAAGATATAACAAAATTCGAAAGTTAAGCAAAAGATATAATACAAGAAACATTTAGAAATGATTTTATGTAATTGCATCCATTTGCCGTGGAATACTTGTCATAAAAAAGATTTCATGTATTTCTTCCGAAATTCAAATGCCTTTTTGGTAGCATTATATCCTTACTGTTTTATTGGCATGAATTGGTCTTTGAGTTCTGCAAAATCTTGAAGGCCAAAATTAAATAAAGTGTATTTCTTTTAATTAATAATAATAATATTATTGAGTCACATATACAATTACAGTTATGTATAACGAGTCACTATGATGTCTTGGGTGGTGAGAGCGAAGATACATTACTGTTCCGGAGCCATCAAAGCATTTGCTCAAGGGACCAGGGAAACTGAACAATCAACCTGATCGAGATGGGGTCATTGGCCTAGGGATTGTACTACAATACTTATTACAGATAGATTATGATATTATACAGTGGATAATTATTTTTAGTAGCAAATAAACATCTCAAGATTTGTACAGTTTCATGTTTAAAGTAGCAGTAAAATTTACTTATTGTCATTTTACTGCTACTACGTATATTAATAATAATATTAAAACAGAACATGATATCAATTATGGTAGCAACTACATAAAATTTAACACTTGCCACTTTATTCTGAAAATGTATTGTTAAAACAAAATATATTAAAAAAAGAAGATTTATATTCAACCATGAAGTAAAGAATAAAATTATTTGCCTTAGGGTAACTGCTAGCCGTTCTTCGGCTCACATGGGCCTCCGAAAACTGGTTTATTTTTATTTTCCCTTATAAATACGTATGTATGGAGTAATATTCATTGTAAAGGGAAAATTATGTAATGCGCGAAAAAATTCCGATTCGCGGATTTATGGCAGAAAAATCATTGTTGGGCCTTGATAACGAAAAAAAAAAAAGATAAATCAAGTAGCTAAATTATGAAAAAATCCTTGTAATACATGATGTAACCAGAATCCCTTTTTCGTGTGGCCTTGATGCTGACAAATCAATTGACGGCAAAACGTCCGTCTATGAATACTAACGCCTAAACCGATGTTGGATTCTTTCCAAATTGGAGAAATGTCCAACTAGCTCGAGTCGACGCTTTAAGAGTTTGAAAAACATTTTTTTTAAATTTGGGGGTACATTACATAAAACCTGCCGGACATATTCTAACTTTTCTCAAAAACTGTTCCAATTATTTTCTGTAAGAATAGAGTAACATACACTCACAAATGTACCATAGGTCCGATTTTCACGGTTAGTTCAAAAATTTCGAAAAAGTATAAATTTTTTTCGGCGCCTTCCTACTACTTCAAAATATAAGATAGAGATTTTTCTTTCAAATAAAATTTGTTCTCCGTAGTGACTTCTTTCATTAAGGCCAAGTACATTTTT